ATAATTTTAAAAGGTAACTTTTGAGTATCTGATATAGATTTTTTAATAGCGTAAGTTGCACTAATGCTAGCATATAGCTGTACAACCAATGATGGCAGATGTAAAGAACATTTTTTGTCCATGTTTATTGTTTAGGCTAGCTCTGCCTTGCGTAATTGGAATTTAAATAGGTAAACAGGTAACTGGATTATGTAGTAGTAATACTTACCAAGCCAATCATTACCTACACAGTTTGCAAACTACCTATTAATAAATATGATTTATGAATAAAGTAATTAGGTTTTTGATACTTATTAATGCTTACTGTTAGATAGTAGGTAATAATTTTATTCACCGACTCCAAAAAAAGAAGGAAGTTATATGTTCGGCGGTATGCATGTTTTATGCATGTTTTCCGATTTCTCCGTCAATTGTGGACCGATTTTGAAAATTCTCTTTTTGTTTCAAAAGGTGCACTCTCTCGTAGTGGTTCCATTGTCACCAAGTTTGGAACGGTATAATCTCGAGTTCGTCCTTGATGCCGACGATGCTGTTCCGGGTTCGTTTCGGCTATCACAAATTTAAAAAAAATATTCCGCAAATTCGACTTTTTACTTGACACAGTAAGTGTAATCAACAAATCATCGTCACAAAAGACTCCGTAACAGTCCCATTGTCACCAAGAAGTCACAATCTGATGAGGGGGTCCCATGAAAATCGAAAAAAGCCGTAATTTATTTCATATTAAAGAGGAATTAATAACAATAATAGCGCACACACTTATAGCCCCGCACTAGGGAAACCCTATATCGCGGGTGCCATACACACACATAGACAACCACAAATTATACCCAAACTCACGAGAGAAATAAATGTAGGCCGTACAAATATTTCTCCCGGCCCGGGAATCGAACCTGGGACCTCTGCGTGGCAGTCCGGCATGGTAACGGACAGACAGTTATTATATTTATAGGCCATGATAATCAGTAGCGGAATCGAATTTCGGGGAAAAATATTGAAATTGTGATACCTAAGCGCAAAACCATCTGAGGTGAAAACCCTAAAAACCATATTAAGTTTTTGATTATTCCCATTGACTTACAAATAAATGGACGACGGGTCTAATACAAAAAAAATGACCACGAAAAAATGTCCTAAGTCAACCTATTTAAACGTAGTGACATGTAAAGGAATATGAAAAAGCTAAAACGTTGAATTTAAATTGTAATGTCATCGCAGTACTGTCTAATTTTGCTTGCTTCGCTGTCAGTCGAACAAACGAAGACTAAAGCGTGAATGACGCTCTGTATACGATTTTAATGCCCTATAAGTTCGAACACTTATTAGCGCGGACCCGACGTATATAATTGTAAGTCAATGATTATTCCACATCGAATTTGACTACAATGGCTACAGGGCTAACCGTTTCAATTTTTTTTATAACATCAAGTGGCGAGACGAACAGTAACAGTAACGGTTACAGTGCCACTAAGAGCTTTAAATTGCAAAGATGGGCACTGCCACTGCGCCCGTCACCCTGAGACATAAGTTGACAAGTCCCATGTGCCTGTAATTTCACCAGCACCCTTACCCTCCAAAACTGGAACACAGTAATGCTGACATTACTGCTTGGCGGCAGAAATAGACAAGGTGGCAATACTACCCTGGACGAACTCTTTCACAAGGAGCTCTACTGCTACTAGAAAAAATAAATATAAATATATATATATATATATATTCGACAACATCATATACGTTGCTTTGATCCCAAAGTAAGTAGCTAAAGCACTTGTGTTATGGAAATCGGAAATAACGACGGCACCACAAGCACCCAGACCCGAGATAATATTGAAAACTTAGTTTTCTACACAGACCCGGTCGGGGATTGAACCCGGGACCTCTGAAACGGCAACCCCATGAAAACCGGTGTGCAAGCCACTCGACCACAGAGGCCGTCAAACCGTTTGAACTTAATAACCACGTTTCCTACATTTGTTGTTTTGTTGTCTTACCGAAGAAGTATTCCCAGATTCATTCAGCATTTTATTTTGTTTATATCTTATACAAATATTCTGTAATGATAATTCAATTGACAAAAATTCAGTTCTATGACGGCAGCTGGGCACATATTATCAGCGTCCATTGTTTTCGCGTGTAAACAATAGTTGAGTTACCGCGATGAGTAAGAACTTAGGACATATAATGGTGTTCAGAGAATTTTTATCTTAGGTTTAATATAAATAATGTTTCAAACTAGAGGAGCTCTCTATAATCTCAAATAGAAAACCACCGTGAGATTCTGACATTAACCCTTATTAAAACAAAGGTAAATTATTTACCTTTTTATTTTCCAAGACATATGTTTAAGTAACCGATTCACACAACACTGTTTGTCACGTGGGTTATTCATACTTATGTTATACTGGTTTGTATTGTGGCCGTAGCATGATATACCCGTGATAAACCTAACTATAACATATTTAATTCAGTTAATAAGGCCATGTTACCATTATTAAAATTTATTTTTTTATTGCGCACACTGATAGGTTAGACGCCGCACTAGAGTCATTCGTTCTTTCGTTTATTTGGTAATGAACTATTGTACATTTTGAAGAATAAGGATAACGATATTGTTTTCATTATTTATTTTTATCTCGTTTGTCGCGCTCAATTTTCACGTTGATAAAATTATTGTAGAGAACAGTCAAAATGTTTTAAAATCAGCTGTGACCCTGCGGCCATGTTTGGCATTGCGGCAAAGCCAAAAGCAATTGCCAGGGAAACCCTGTGTCGCAGGTGCCATGGACACACACATAGGCAAACACAAATTACACCCAAACTCATAAAATAAATAAATGTAGGCCCTAGAAATATTTCTCTCGGCCTGGGAATCGAACCTGGGACCTCTGCGTGGCAGTCCCGGACTCGCCTGTCGGCTCGTTTCATAAACCCACAGTCGTGTTTTAATGATTTCATTATGTAACAGTCACATAAACTATTATTTTCGTAATATGTACCATTCTCAAACTTTGAAAACTCTGAAACTTTGAATATGTTATTTTGTAACTACATTTTGAAGTTCTAAACGTGTAATGGCAACATGTTTAACACCAGAAGAATACATGATGTTCCCCTGGAAATAGCATCTGCGACCCGCAATAGCCAAGGAACTGCAGGAATGCTTAGGTAAGGCAAGGAGGCTTGCATTTGTTTAAGAGGGAGCAGAGGAAAATTTCCTAATCTTCGATTTATTTTTAGAGGGATATATCCACTTCAAAGTTAAAAATAAAATATGGTATGAGTAACTACACGATATATTCAAGACACTAATCAGAAACATAAAACAATAAAGTTTCCTCGATAGATAAAAATCACGAAATCACCTCTAATTTTCACATTTTTTCGATTCATCCTCGAAATGCTACAGGATATTAGGACAAAAATTTGATAATTAATTATATTTATGCATGATCGAGAACTGTCACTACGGATTTCTTTTTAATCCCTTTAGTTTTAGAGTTATTCCGCTAAAACGAACTTGGTACTTTTAATGCGCAAAATTCAACATCTCCTGTCGCATGTAACGCGAACTTCAGGCATATATTTGTTTCACAAATTTGGGCGGAGCCAACGTCAAAACTTTTTTGGCATGAGGGTTAACTAAACTAATGGATAACACAGATATTTAATTTAATTTTAATACTTTTAGAGCTCCTTGTGAAATAGTACGTCTAGAAAAGTACTGCCACCTTACCTATTTCTACCGCCGAGCAGTAATCATGGGCATTTCTCGTTTTGAAGAGCAAAGGTTGCAGGTGAAATTACAGGCACATGGGACTAGTTAACTTATGTCTCAGGGTGACGAGCGCAGTGGCAATGCCCCTCAGATCTTTGCCATAACCACTCACGCGATGCGCTCCTCCTATCGCAAAATGGCGGCTATTTGGTTTCGCAAATTAGAAAAGCATTCAGTTTAAATACAAGTTTTTATAAATAAAAATTATTATTCTGCATTGCTAAATAAATACCCTCCGTACTACCAACAAAAACATCTCAAATAAAATGCAGTAATACACATAAATATGATAATATTCCATTTGAGTGGTTCTAACGTTTACCATGAAATTACTCCTTAAAGTATATTTTATAAACATTTATATTCAGGGTAAACTTAAAAAACGCTATTACGGTATGTTTTCAATAAATAAACCCCGAAATCACCAGCCCAAACAATAACACACACGATTGTCGTGACGTATTTTTGAAGTTGTTTATTTATTTTAAAATGACAGACCCAGGCATTAAAAACTTTATGGTTTGCTAGAGTAGTTACCGAAATAGCAATTAATATTAGTTCTTTTACCCGTTATAACTTCGATATCCGATAAATCGATATAAAATCATCACCGGCACCTCTAGGTGTGGTATGCGTCTACGGCTGCATGTATCGCGTGAGCGGATAATGGCGCTAAGTGGTACTGCAACTCCTATAGACAGGAGTATCGTCCACACTAATCGAATGACTTGTTGTTTCATCAACTGCTGCAACTGCGACTGCACCCGTCATCCTGAGACATAAGTTGACAAGTCCCATGTGTCTGTAATTTCACCAACACCCTTAATAAGAGTAATACTCACATTACTGCTTGGCGGCAGAAATTGGTAACATGGCAGTACTGCTCTACTGGAAATTATAAGCCTTAAACCACAAATAACAAGTCAATAAAAAAAACTACCTATTGCATAAGTTATGATAAAAATGTACATAAACATAACCGAAATTGAATAACAATCAATAACCAAACATTCTTAAAGAAAACACATTTATAAATTTAATTTTCCCAAAATACAGACGGACAATAGTGTGGCTATTGTTGTCCGACCGCGAGCAGTTCGCAGTTTACGTTGTAAATTGAGGTGGTGTCGATAGGTTTATCTCATTGTTCTTAGTCGATGTTCAGAGACTGCGCGGAAAGGTTCAGTTATACTGAAAACTTTTAAGACTAGGAATTAAAAAAGTTTGAGGTGCTACAGCGATGAGGGTGCTTTTCTTATTGTGCGTCTTATATGCCACAGCTGCTAAGAGAAACGTTGCTGACAAGTTAGGTAAGTTCATTTCAAAACAATTTTCAGTGGGTTGGTTATTGTTTGAATAACTATGTCCAATTTAACTTTCGAATGCGGTGAATTTGGAACGATAAACAAACCAATCTGTATCCGTGGCTAAACGGTTAGAGATCCCGGGTTCGATTCCTTGGTAAATATTTGTATAGCCCACATTTATTTTTCTCGTAAATTTGAGTGTAATTTGTGGTTGTATACGTGTATCACCAACGATATATTGTCCTTTGTGCGGGGCTGTGAGTGTGTATGTTATCCATTTACTTTATATGTATATCGTTTTGTCGTTCAATGATGCAAAAGAAACGTGAGTTTTGACAAAATTAGGTCTTGAAATAATTTTATAAATGTCACAGGCAACCACACCAATTGCCTGGTCTCAAATTAGGGAATCCCCTGTACTATGAGTACCAGAACAAAGGAATTCACTCTGGGGCACTTCACAGACCACCCAAGTCAATATCGAACCGAGAACCTTCTCATCCAGAAAGATTTTTAGTAGCAGTAGAGCTTCTTGTGAAAGAGTTGGTCCAGGGAAGTGCTGCCACCTTCCCTATTTCTGCCACCAAGCAGTAATGTGAGCAATACTATGTTCCGGCTTGGAAGGGGACTTGTCAACTTATGTCTCAAGGGTGACAGGCGCAGTGGCAGTGCCCCTAAGATCTTTGCGATTTAAAGCTCTGAGTGGCACTGCAATGTTATGGACAGGCGTGTCGCTTACCACCAGGCGCATGACTTGTTCGTCCCGTCACTTGATATTATAAAAAAAGGTCGTTAATTGCCTGGAATTGTACAACAAATCATATTAATAAAAATAGCTATGCAGATTTAACTTTTTACTACCCTCTTTAATATGGATTTGGTTGGATTATCAAAATGCAAGAAAAACCGCAAAGTACGCCAATAAGAAAGTTTAAACTTTCTGGTGACGGATCCATTTATGTTCCCGCTGTCGTACTTCTTTGCTTACACTTCTTGTAATTGACACGCAAATAGACTTGTCAAAGTCTACCCCTTTGTTGAACTTTGCCTGTGTTTCTTTCTAATATATAATTCATTCCGAAACCACGTAGAAGAGTGAGTGGAACTCAGGGCCAAGAAATTCGTCTTGGAAATTTGCTTTGCTCAACAGCTCGTTCCATCATTATTTATTCTTGTGGTTTCCCAAATTCGTAACTTAAACAAAGTACAGAAGTTATTCTTACGTTGAAGCTTAAAAATATTTACGTAGCATTAAAATATAAAAGAAAAGAAAAAAAATAGAAAATTTCTAGGTTTCATCCAAATAATTAAGGTACCTACACATTTCATGGCAGACCGCGTCCTCGGGCATCGGGTAAGTAAATCTGGCAAAGTTTCCGCAATGGATGTCTAAGCTTATTCTTTGACCGAAATAGCTACCAGATTTCTGGTCACTAGGAACACAAAGCTTAGTAAAAAGCACAAAGTTGTGCAAGAGCTAAGGTCGGCGTATTTAGGATTTTTACCCTTTTGGACTGCTTTGACAGCAAAGCCTGGGTCACCAATGTTTGTGTAGATATAGAAAGCCTCCCCCACATTGTTCCCACTAGTCCCACCCCACATGGTCCGCCCAGTTACTTAAGTCATAAGTCTATTGCCTTGCGTATTTCTGCCGCCAAGATCAGCCCTCATATCTTTGAGATTTAAAGCTCTGAATGGCATCGCAACTGTTATGGACAGGCGTGTAGCTTAACCATCAGGTGCACGAATTGTTCGTCCCGAACAATATAAACAAAATCAGTCAATCAATTTCGTTGTTTGATTTTCGAACTAAGTTATAACAGGTTTAATTCATAGACATTTTATTCTGGACACGAGGTTTAGGATATGAAAAAGTATTAGAATAGAATAGAATAGAAATATTTTATTACTACGCCACAACAAAAATATACACAGTAATAAAATGAAGATAAAAAAAGATGAAGCTACATTAAAACAAAATATTACTGGAAAAAAAAGGAATAAAAATAAAATCATACACAACTACAAAGAAAAACATGAAATATTTAACACAATTAGATTAAATGTCATGTGCGTGGCTGTGGCGTATGTAACAGGATCACACTCAGCTATTGTCACCGCCGAGAAAAGGCTGTGACGCTAATTTTCAGTGGGCCCTAAAACCGAGTGAGTACCGGACGTGTGTGTCGCGAATATACGTGTAAACTTAAATAAATTACATAAATATTTCTATAATGTAGTGTGTTGTGTTCAGTTATATGTATAGAATACTTAAATAATGATTGATACATATATAAAGTGATAAGTGTATGTAATGTAGTGTCCAACATTTACAACAAACAAAATAGAACTTATTTCGTTTACAATGAAACCGATTGTGAGATTTGTGTCACGTGTATATTAACAATCCTTAAGTTTTTATTCCCGCTTCTAAGCTTGATAAAATGACCCTGTTGTTCATAGACATCGCGATCATAATATCAAACATTCATGTTCTTAAGCCTGTTGATATGAGTTCCAAAAGAATGAAGATCAAGTGCACCTGCGGCATTGTGAAATTCACGCGTCAAAAAAAAACTTCGATTTCTGAAAACCATTCATTGGTACAAAAAACGATTCAATGGCGATATCGTGTTGTTTTTTATTCATTACCTGTTCACATACTACATGAGAGTCTATTATCTTAGATAATGAGTTCGTATTACATGTTGTGACCCATGCGCATACGAATTAGCATCCAGTGAATATCGGTATTTTCAGGAACTTAGTTTTCAGGTACTATCGATACAAATTATACCCGTATTTTATTGAAATGACAATGACCTTATTACCGGTATGAATTATTCGGTATTATACAAGTTTTTGAGACAACTATGTACCGGTACTAATTAAATTACTTTTTATTTAATCATTTATTGCACAGGAAAATACAAATCACATTTAGTCAAAAGAAAAAACAAAAGGTACTGCATATTTCTAAAAGAAATTTCTTCCTGCAGACCTAAATACAGAACACAATAATTACAAAACCTATTTAATAAAGAAAGAAATTTCTTTCTTTCTTTATTTTTTATTTTTTTATTTTTTATTAATAGGGGTTAAAGTATGAAATTGCCGATTTGTACTGAAAATCTAAATTGTTTATTTTTTAAATTTTTAACAAATTTATTTAATCAAAATAGTTGCCATTATTATCTATACATTGCTGCCATCTAATGGGAAGGTTATTAATGCCTTTGCGATAGAACTCCGACGATCTAGACAGCACAAACTGTGTGAAAGCATTTTGTACTGCGTCCTGGGAAGAAAACTTCTTGTCACGTAGATAATTGTCCAAATCACGAAAAAAATGGTAGTCCGTTGGAGCAAGGTCTGGTGAATACGGAGGATGACGAATGGTTTCTAACTGCAGTTCCTGAAGGGTCAAAATGGTTTCTCGTGCTGTGTGAGGTCTCGCGTTGTCATGGAGCAATAATGGTGAAGATCGATTCATGAGTCGGGGCTGTTTTACTGCTAGTTTTGTCAACATGGTTCGGAGTTCGGCACAATAGACATCTGCCGTTATTGTTTGACCAGATCGGAGAAAACTATAGTGAATAACACCATGCTGAGACCACCAAACAGTTACGATTACCTTTTTATTGGTAAGTTTTGCTTTAGGACACTGTTGTGGCATTTGACCTGGGGTCAGCCATTGCATTTTTCTTTTCCGGTTATCATAAAGAATCCACTTTTCATCACATGTTACAATTCGATCCAATATTCCTTCATTTCTGTACCGGTTCAACAAGGCAACACAAGTTTCAACACGCGTTTCTTTCTGCAGATCAGCCAAATCATGAGGCACCCATTTTTCGTATTTTTTTATTTTATTGATTTGACGCAAGTGAGTCAATATTGTGGGTAAGGTAACGTTAAACCATGCCGCTAATTCCTGGGTAGTTTGACTAGGATCGGCTTCCACTATCTCTCTTAATTCATCGTTATTCACCTGTGTGGGCGGTCTTCCTCGTGGCTCGTTCTTTAAGTCGAAATTTCCATGACGAAAGCGTTTAAACCAAAATCGCACGGTGCGTTCATTAGTAGACCCCTCTCCAAACGCAGCATTGATATTGCGGGCTGTTTCTGCTGCGTTAGTTCCGCGTCGGAACTCGTATTCAAAAATCACTCGAATTTTCGCAGTATCCATCTTTCTTGTCTAAATTGAATAACAAAAACAATTGAAAGTCGATATTCAAATGTTTCAAATTTAAAAAAAAAAATCACAGAAACCATTTGAAAAAAGTTTCATTCGAAAACCTCAAACCATGAAGATTCTATGAAAATTCAAAGAACCTATTGCAATAAAACGGCAATTTCATACTTTAACCCCTAATATTTAAATGCAATTAATTATTAATTAATCAACATGATTTACGAGTGCAGTAAAGTGTGAACGTAACGGGGACCGCTACTGAGTCCCGGTACCTTTAGGTAAATATATCGGTTTTCCATTAATACCGGTATTCAGGTATCGAAATAGAAAATACCAGTGTAAATACGCATTAACAATTGTTCACAAATTATAAAGATATGTTACCGGCAATTCAAGTAGTATTCTTAGAATATAAACCTCGTTTATTTAATGTGTGAACTTATTTTTTTGTTTTTACAACTATAACATAACTAACCGTGGCAGCATTATGTGCAATGCCAGGAGATTACTCGAGACTACTTGAACGTAGCATATCAGGTTAGGTTTGGCGTATTGCGGCTTTATGTAAGGTAGATTCTTGGCCTAAATACCCTAGATTAACAGATCGTAATAGAGACATAAACATTTTACTACTTGTAATGTTCTAATCGATAAACAAATTGTTCAAAACAGTCAATTAAGGCATGTCGACCAGGCGGCAATGTTTACAAACAATCGATACGATTTTTTGCCACCTGCGTGCATTCATAAATAAAGGGATCTAATTTATAACACCCGCCATACGGTAGTCGTGGGGAAACAAATTTGG